TTAACCCAAGGGGCTCTCTCAATGCTGTGGTAGCTAGCTCAGCTTCTGGGTTTCTGTTCCTCCTCTACGTAGTAGTTGGCACCCTTGCCACACACTAAGCCTCTCACACTGAAGGGATTGCTTCCTATCCTCACACAGCAGGTGCACAAAATGCAGAAGGCCCAATATTGTGGTTGTGTTTTCCAATCCAAAAACATTTGGACAAGTACTGTTTTGTAGAACCAAGAAATAATAGAATTTCATGAAGTCACCCTGGGAAAATCAATCACAGAATACTCTGAACTAGGTTATTTTTACTGGGAGTAATCTAAAGAGGCCAGCAGACTTAGCCATGACTTGTTAAGTAGGGTCCTCTTTGTCCACATGTTCTACCAAGGTCACTTCCTGTATCCATTTACATGGGGAGGCCAGGGGTAGCTCCTCACTGCTCCATTACAGTGTTTTCATCTTATGCCTGGCAAGTAGTACTCCTTTCTTCCTTCTCATTCAGATTCTAAGTCTCTTTCCCTCCTTATAAGTTAAAGCATCTCATTTTCTTTTCCAAATGATTAGCCTCCTGCTCTTATACTTGTTCTGTCTACAGTGTTATGGCTGTGTTTTATAATCTTACTTGAGGATATCACATGTCACTCTCTCCTTGGTATTTTCTTGTGTACTTTCAGTTCTGTAAATTAAATATGAGTGAGTGGTTATGGCCAGGAAAATCAATCTTTAAACAAATTAATATTTCAATGCCAGTTGTATAGCTATTTCTCTGTTTAATGTGTGTCTTGGCTTAGAAATACAAAACACTGAATGTATCATTTTGGAAAAACTTAAATCAAAGTGAAGACAAAGAAGGCAAGCCAAATATGCCATAAGATTTTGAAGCTAACTGTTGGAAGAGAGCTAATGCCTTAATTTGTGGAATCCAGATCTCTTAAAACAAATAGCAGCACCTTCATTTGATTTATTTTCTGGCCATTTCATTTCCATGGTATGGAAAATAAAATATGAATCATCATACCTGTGTAGGACTGCCAGAAAAAAATAGGACTTTCAATTAAATTTAAATATCAGATAAAATGGATATATAAACCAAGTATTGCACGGGATGTACCTATAAAAATATTATTTGTTATGAATATAAAATTCAAATTTAACTTGGCACCCTCTATTTTTATTTGTTAGATGTGGTACACCCTACCACATGAGGCAACTGTGAAAAATAAAAGCAATTTCCTGCAATAAGGTAAATGAAAAGATTTAGTACGATACCTAATACATGATAAGCAGGTTGAGTGCCCCAATCTAAAATTCTCAAATCCCAAGTCCAAGCTTCTTGAGCACTGCCATGACTCCACAAGTGGAAAATTCCACACCTGACTCTATGGGACAGATTATAATCCAAATGCAGGTGTGGTAAAAATGTTGTGAAACATTACACTTTGTGCATAAAGTGTATATGAAACATAAATCAATTTCATGTCTAGGCTTCAGCTCCATCCCCAAATTATCTAATTATGTTCGTACAGATATCCTAGAAACAAAAACAAAACCCAAATCTCAAACACTTCGAGTCCCAGGCATTTCAGATGGGGATATTCAATCTGTAGATTATTTTCCCTTTCCTTTGCTGGGAAGTCACAGATTATCATTCTGACAGAAATTCTTTATTGTTCAAAAAGATGGTTTGGGTTTAATAGCTTTAGCTTCAAAGGCATGTTACTTTTTCCTCTTTTTAACCCAAAAGATGTCACACTTACTTCCTCAAAATTCATACAGATTTAGTTCTAAATTTTTTAAGAAAATCAATCCCTTCCTGTTGCTATTTGAAAATGTATTTTAGAAAAGAAAACTGTATTTTTTGTTGCATCAGTGATTTTTAAATTTTCTTCCCCACCAGATTATCCCAAAATTAAAATGTAAGAAAATATTTAAATATATTAAAATGTTTATTTCTAAGAATGTTATACCTCAGAATGGGGAATTTGTGGTTAACATAAATATGGTTCACCTTGTCTAATGAAGGTTATTTCTTTAGCTGTTTGGAATAGTTCTAGGAACTGAGCCAGCAAATTGATCACCAACAATTTAAGAGAAGAGAAAGAGATTTAGTGATGGAGCCAACTAAAGGTCACATTCAGTCCAGTTCATTTTCAAAACTGAACTGACACTGAGGGAAGCTGGCCCTCTCTTTTGCTCATGGAAACATCATACGCATATGTTCTAGAAGGCAGATTAGCAATAAGTACCAAAAATTATAAAGTTATACATGGTGCTGACATAAGCCACCTCCACAGAGGGTAGAATAAAAGATGTGTTCTCCCTCTCATTGTTTCCTCATTTGACCCCTTCTCCTGCCTTCTCCTTTTGCCCAGACTGTGAAGCTCTTTGTAGCAAGAATTATCTAAAATTTTCACGTGTGCACAGTAACTTACACATATTTAGTGATTTTTTGTTGTTGTTGTTTTTTTGTAAGCCTAGTTAGTTTCTGGTAAGAACTCTTTTCCTGTTTTTTAGACAGCTACCTTCTACATTCAAAGGCTTTTGTAAGTGCTCTTGTAAGAAGACATGCTAGAGAGAGGTCTCTCTCTCTCTCTCTCTCTCTCTCTCTCCCTCCCCTTTCTCTCTCTCTCTCCCCCTCTCTCTCCTCACAGGTAAGTTCAAAGTGAAAAGTCACTTGTCTACAGCCCAGGGAGAAATCCCTCACCAGGATCAGAAATGTTGGAGCTTTGATCTCAGACTTTAGTCTCCACAACTATGAAAAAGTGAATTTCCCTTAAGCTACCCACTCTATGGTGTTTTACTATGACAGCCCATGCCAACTAAGATCAATATCCAAGTCAGTACTTCAGTACTGACTGAATAAATGATAAAAAATGTATATGTATATTGTTGAGCAGTTATAGTTATTCTTTAACAGACATATAGTATGGGGAAAATGTTAATTACATTTAAGTAAATAAGACTATGAGGACTGGGGATTTAGCTCAGTGGTTCCGCCGCCTGCCTTTCAAGCGCAGGGACCCAAGTTCGATCCCCGGTACCAAAAAAAAAAAAAAAAAGAAGAAGAAGAAGACCATGAAACAGCTGAAACAGTATAAGTATGGTACAATTTTTAGAAGAATTGTTGTACACACATATAGATACACATGCACATCATACCCAAATTCTTTAAAATCATAAGGTCATATATAAAAATGTGAATAAATAATTGTCTCTGAGTGGTTGAGTTACAGATTATTTTACCTTTCGTTTTTGTGTGCTGTACCATATTTTATAATTTCTGAGTTTTGTGTATTTTTTACTTTTATAATCAGAACTATCAATTAAGAGATTTTTGTTGTTGCTGATAATGGACTGATATCTACTTCAGGGAGTGACACTGAAAATAAAGAGACAGTCCAGGTGGTGATGCCTCACACCCAAGGGTCTTGCCCTTGATGGCTGAGAGCTCCAGGCAATATCCATAGCCTCATGATGCATGGAGATGCAAAATCCAAAACTTCTATAGTGACATAAAACCTTTTTAATGGAAATCCTCTTTAACTTCCTCTTTCTGCTCTTGATCTCATCACTATTCACTTACAAACTTTTCTGAGATTTTGCTCATTGGATAAAAAGACCAGTAAGTTTTAAAAAGCCAAGAAATCTTTAACAAGTAGAAGCAGAAAAAAAAAAAAAAAACTAATGTCTAAAGAGACCTTTAGAAACTGAAATGAAATGAAGAGAAATGTTGCAAACAGAAATATAAGTTTGAAAGGTACAGCTTAGCTTCTCTATACTTCCCTTTAGATCTATTTTAAATCACCAGGGCACTCATCCATTTGCTTAGTCTCTGCAAAATTTGAGATATTTCTAGCTATCAAATTTTTTAGCAATAGCATTGCAAACTCAGGAAAAGGGCATGCTAATTAGCCTGATTTGTTACACAATGTACACACATCTCAAAACTTCACATTGTACCCCTTAAGGATATACAGTTATAATTTTTCAATTAAACATAAAGTAATACTTTAGAAATATTTTTTAAAGAAATACTTTTTCCTTTGGTTATTTGCGGTAGGCTCATCCAAAACTTTTGATCTTCCTCTCATTCTTTTTTTTTTTTTTTTTTGCCACATAGCTCATTAGGAGAGTATACATGTACAACTTCTCTGCATGGGTGGAAAAGGAAATAAATTTTTTTAATTTACATTCAAAAGTTAGATAACGCTGCAATTCTCTTCATTTTCTGATGGCCTCCAACTCTTCATGTAAATGAGATCCTTGTACTTGAGTTTCTTGTTTGAAATATTGGCATATCTGTATTCAGGTAGCAAGGTTGGGGTTTTTTATTTGTTTGTTGTTTGCTTTTTGTTTTTGTACTGAGAATCCAACTCTAGTCCTTGCTCTTGTGAGGCAGGCGGTGGAACCACTGAGCTAAATCCCTGGCCCTTTATGGAGCTGTTACTTTTGTTTGCTTTCACTGTCAAAGATTATATGGAATGACCATGGCCAGAAAAAAAATGCCTGAATTATATATACTTATTGTGCAATGGCTAATGACATGCAAATTCATAGCAGAGTAAATCACAAAAAGGATCAGGCAATACCATTATATAAGAAGGAAATAAATGTGTCACTATTCCTAGGAACTGATAACAGATTTTAACTAGTAATTTTAAAGCATAGTTTTATGTGGTATACATAAATAAAATCATTAGCAATGTCTTTTCCCACTTTTTAGACTTCAAATACTAAGATTATATATCTAAAAATGCAAAGAAAACTAATCTGAGAGGCATAAAAAAAACCAGTCCAAAACTACAGGAGCAGAATGCAATGTAATTGTTCCTTCACCTGAACCCACGGCAGTTGAACAACCATGAAAAGAATGAAGGTCAGCTTCTCTCCCAATTCCAGAGCTTTTGAAAATGTCCCTACTACACTCTGTTCTCAGTCTGATTCCATTCTGACACTTCTTCTCACTTGTTAAATTGAAAGATAGGCATGAGAGAGGACTTACATGTTGTCAACTAAATATATTGTTCAAAAATCATGATTCATAAGGCTTTCATGTAGTCAGGTGGTTTGATACTCAGTTATGTGTCACAGAACTACTCAAAAAAGGCATTAAGTGGTATTGCTTCTTGTTCCTGTTACTTCTGTTTTCTGATCTTGTCTCCTGGGTCCAATTCCGTGCTATACTAGCATGGAATGATGTTTTAAGAGCTAGATGAATGAACAATTATTTGAAACTAGTTAGAGAAAAAGCAAACACTTGATTGGATAAAACTTCAATGAAACTCTCCTAATCTATGATCAGCCCCCATTCCAAACAGTACATTAAGCATCTGTAATATTAGATTTACAGCATTTAAAATAGCCCTTGATAAAATCTATATTAGTTTGTATTAATTTCAAGTTAAGTTTCAATTGAGTGCTAAACCCATATTTGTAAGAAAGAACAGTGTATAATGCTTATCTTAATGATTGATTAAATTTTACCTGTAGTGAATGGCCTTTTTTTAAATCTAGCAAAGTCTTACAGAGTGTATAATAAGGCAGAAACTCATGAAGTAATTCATTTGTCCCAGTTTCTTCACAATCAATGTCATTTTTTCCATTTTCCACTTTCAATGAAAAGCAAAATTTGGAGGAAAAAGCAATTAGCTCTATTTTAGATATTTTTACTTTCAATACTGAATCTTCAAAGATAAAAATGACAGAGTTAAATCATCTACATAAAAGTACAATAGGTGCAGAGAGAAAGAATATAGCATATAATCTATTTAAACATCAGAATCATAAGTTATAATTGAGGTCAATGTTGAACTTCTAAAGACCAGTCAACTTTACCAACATCTTATAATTTTATCGTCAAGAAATTTTTCAGATAACTCTCATTGGATGGCAAAGAAGTTCTCTTTTACAGAAACAGATATGCCGAGATTGAGCTTTCCTGACCAGGGAGCCATTTTTCTGCCTTCTCCCCATTCCCTCCTTCCTGTTGTTTGTCATTTCACTTAGGACTGGGGAATGACTCCCAGAAGTCAGGTATAAGTCCTTGACACTCCTGGTGAAAGAGTCAGAGACTCACTTTGAAAAACAGTGTTATAATGGTGGATTGGATGCAGGGGGCAAAGCAAAGGAAAACATTGCATCCTACATATATGATCCTACACTTTCAAGAAATGAAATGTTTTGGTTACTTGATTATTTCATTTGCAGGATATTTATCATAAATATCAATGATAAATAATTTACTTAAGAATTTACCAGGTGGGCAGGTGATTTGGCTCAGTGGTTCTGCCACCTGCCTCAGAAGTGCAAGAACCAGAGCTTGATCCCCAGTACCAAAAAACAAAAAAGAATTTACCAGGTATGGGGGTGTATCCCTATAATCCCACAACTCAGGAGGCTGAGGCAGGAGAAATACCAGGAATTCAAGGCCAGCCTGGACTACATAGTGAGTTTAAGGTCAACCCGTGGTACATAGCAAGGCCCTGTCTCAAAACAAACAAACAAACAATCAGAATACAGTGTGATACACTGAAGACAAAAAGCTTATTGGGTATAATTCAGTTTTTTATTTTTTTAATTCAGAAGGCATTTCCGAATCTGGTAACCCTTATTCTCAACATCAGTCATCATTGTATGTTAAACATGGAAGTATCTGCCAAGAGAATTTTCCCATTAACCAAGTGTTACTGTACTTTTAAAAATACTTCACAATAAAGAGACAGAAGTTTCGCATAAAAAGTACCAGATTAGAAGCTGTTTTGAGCAAGACTCTGGGGTAAATATGGGGATGTAGTGTGGCACTTATTCACAGGAGAGAGTCAGTGCTCAGTTTGAGTGAGACTCAAACTATCATCATTTAACCTATCTCGGCCTCTGTTACCTTCAGATAATAAAGGTTAATAGGGACAACTCTTCTCAGGATAACTTTGAGAAATGAGCTAAGAAGAGGAGAGGAGAGAAAAGCACATTGTAAATCAATATATGTCACCAGAGTTCTAATAGAAAGTGTTCTGTGTTTGAACAGATCATTAATTTTAGCAACTCTGATTCTTTTATGTCATGCCTGGTCAGCTGCATCTTTGCCCTGGCAATTTTGTCTATCCCAGGCTCCTTTGGCTTCCCAGCAACAGCTGCCTAGAGACCATCTCTGCCCAGTCTCCATGTGGCGTCTGGTAGCTTCTAAGAGTTTAGCCAATCCATCTTCACAGAATGGAAAACATTTCCCCACAGTTAGATTTGAGTTCTCAGAAGCTTTTCCCCTTCAGATGCCAAGACTATGCCTCATTTGGAATTCACTGCAGCCAAGTCGGTTCTTTATGGTACAGGATGTTTTGTACATCTTCTGCTGAAGATATTGTCTTGTGTGTTTGTTTGTGTGTGTGTATGTGTGTTTGTGTGTGTGTGTGTATTGGCTATGTGAGTTGACCCTCTACCATTATAGCTTCCTTAATTGCCTGTATAACTCTCTGCTAGAGATAACTCACTATGTGTCAACTGCAAGTCTTTAGTTGGAAGGTACTATACCTTAGCTAGAACCTCTGAACTCTACAGTTTATGAGTCTGTCAGGTAACACTCCACAGGGTGCTTGGGAATCGAAGGCAGAGTGTACTTTGCAGTGCAAGCTGTGATCATGTAGCCATCTTCACCCTGACCTGACTCCCCTGCTGGGAGGCAGTCCATAAACTTCTAAGAAATATTTGGTCACATATGCTGGTCTCTCTACTCTTTGGACATTAAAACATTACAAGAAAGAATGGCTGAAATAAGTGAGAGGCCTACTAGATAGATTTTTTTTCAAGATATTTGACTACAAAGATTGATTAGTAAGCAATACAGGTTGAACTAAGCCAAAAGCCTAAGATCTAAAATACTCCAAAATCTAATATTTTCTGACTCCCACAAGATGCCACAAGTAGACAGTTTCACATTAGATCTCATACGTTTTCTAATGGTTGGATATACCCAAAAGTTGTTCCATGTGCAAAATTATTTAAAATATTATGTAAAATTACCTTAGGCTATGTGTGTATGGTGCATATGTAACATACATGAATTTTGCATTAAATGAGATTCCTTCCCCAAGACATCTCATTTTTATATACTGATATTCAAAATATGAAAAAAATCCAAAATCCAAAAAACTTCTAGCCCCAAGTATTTTTATAAAAAAATACTTAACCTGTACTTAGAATCTCTTAACAAGCTTATATTTACAATGTGTGAGGTGGAGCCATTGCTGGTGATTCTTATACTTGAGGAGAGGAGTAAGTTGCATAAGTGTGACTGTCTGAGATTAATATTAACATAAGGCATAGTAATAAAAATAAGATAAATAGGCGCATTTTGAATTCATTAAGGCTACCCAGCCTGCCTGTTATAATGATACTCTACTGATGTCTTCATTTTAAGATCCTGTCTTCATCCTGTACTACTATCAGCAACTTTCCACCTTCCCAAATGAAATGTAAGCATTTTGAGAACATTAATTAATCTTTCATCTCAGGCACCTAGCATCTGTGTTGCAAGTGCTTAAAAAAATAACAGAACTGATAATGCATGAATAGATTAATATATGACAGAGTAGGAAGGAAAATTAGAGAGAAAGAGATAGAAGTACAAAGAGGAGGAGAAAGGCTGTGCAGATGTGAAAGTTACTATTATTTAGTATGAGAAGATGTGATGTGAAGAGTTTTATCTTCATCACCTTTAAGTATGCGGTTCTCTTAGTATGTTCAGTTTCTTAAAACCCTGAAGTTGTAGCAAAACAGTATACTTTTCTTACTTTGGTTTTCATTTATATTATTTTTTTAAATATAAGTCAGCTAGAATCAAGAATTTTGGTTTTGGTTTTGGTTTTGAGGTGAGTGACAAGAGTGTGGATAATTGGCACTCCCTTCTGAGAGGACACTTGGACAGGATTTGTGATGAGAATTTCATCCTTGAGCAGGCAGGTGGCAGCTGAGCAGAGTGGCTGAAAATATGTACAGCTTCTATGATCAGATATGGGTCAGAATCTGCTCCACCACTAATTAAATCTGTGCTCTTGAATATGTTATTTATCTGAGCCCTCGTTCCTTCATCATGAAATTGGATCATGAGAGTGATACAGGGATGTGGGAAGCAATGTATGTAAAGCACAGTGTACCGCGCCTGTGTCTTGTTGACATGCTTCATGTGTCAGCACTACAGAACCAACCTTTGCCAGGAAAGTGGCTGGTAGGACAAGGAACATAGCAGTCTTACCTGGCTGCCTCTCAATGCAGCATCTGATACAGGCTGTCCTTCGGTGTGTAGGACACTAAAGTACCCGCTATGAACACCAAGTTCGCCGCCATGGGAATCATTTATCGAGTTGAAGGTGGGGGAGGGAGGCAGGGTAGTTGGAGGGAAGCCTGACATTGAAGTGAACTAAATCTGTGCAAGTGGCTATTTTTATCAGCCCAACCACAGTGGGTATGTGATCGGGCATCTACTTTTGATCCAGTTCTTTTTATAGGTGCTGTTTTTTTTAAGGCTATTCTCCATCCTTTCCCAGGCTGCTGAGCTGATTTAAGATTCCTTATGGAGTATTTATCATCTGCAATCTGGAAGAGAAAAACATGGATATTAGTAATTAGATACTCCTTTAAGATGTAAAAACAGTCTCATCAACTCCAGCATAAATTTGGCATAACAGTATTTTATCTACAAAGCCTCCAAACACAGCATTACCATTTCAAAAGTGCTTCAGCTTGTCAGCCTAGACTCAACCTGTATCGGCAGCATTGCTGAATTGAAAACCAACATCAATCCATCCCAGTTGTCTGTCCTCTTTATTCTTATAATGAAAACTTGACTTCAACCGTTTCAAAACATGTCCCCATTATTATCACTCAGTCTGGTTTAATTAGAGTAGTCTTTCTCTTTCCAAAGAGCATTATATAAAGTTAAAAACTGTTGGATATAAAAGCAGGAAGACTGTGCCAATTGGTGCTTTCCAAATGTTTTTTGAAGAATTGTCTGTACATTTCGTACCTGTATTGCCATACTGAAAAAGTTATTTCAGTCCTAGCTGCTGGTAGGACTAACTTGACACTTGACCCACAGAGTCCCTAATACAGTGCCATGTGTGTGTCCAGTGACCCTAGATAAATATTCCCGGAGAGAAGAAAGCTGAATGAGACTTGTTGCCCTTTCCTATGAAAGTCTTCAGTACCAAGGAAGGAGACTGCACACTTTCTCTTTAAAGAGGAGCTTTGTCAGTCTGTTAAAGGCATTCTCTAGGGGGCTGTCTGACTGCATGGTACATATTCATAATAACAAGGAGGATTTTCAGCAATTTCAGATAAAGGTCAGCCATTTTAGAAAAATCTCAACTTTTTTGCTCTCTTATTCTTCTCCCCTGAACAAGGCAGGAAGTCTACCCAGGCCTGTGTTAATGAATTAGGCAGCTTGTACTGTACAAAGTGCATTTTCATTACTATGAACAAAACAGGCTGCAGGGGAAATTTGATAGGTGACTTCCACTCAAAGGACAAGATGCATTTATCTGAAGGCAATTCAGTGGTTTATAATGGACAGCAGGGGCCCTTTGTCTCCTTGTCACAATCTTCCTGTGAGCATCACTATGATTCATAGTCAAATTATACTACCCTAGCTATTTAAATCACAGATTCTCCAATCCAAGATCATTGCAATTTTAAATAGCATCCAGGAGTGCAGTTCCATTTTTTAACACAATATTTTGAATTTGTACAAAAAGAATCGGTCACCGGGAAGTGACTTTTTGATTATTTCTTGTGCTTTGCTACAGATAAGTACTGAGGTTTTTAAAAAGCACTTGATTACAAGCAGTTGGAATCACATTGTTTCTCAGCAAGACTTATTTTACTCATGAAAGTCATTGTGTATCTTACCAAAAAAAGGCAATAATTTTCCATTTCCAAAGGAATCTGTATGTCAAACTTGATACGGTTTTGTGTGGATAAAGGTCTCCCACACCAAAACAAATGAGGTTATAATGTAACAATAAATTGTCCTTAGTGATTTTTAAACTTCACTGTATATTAAAGTAATCCTAAGTATTCGGCAAAAATTTAGACAGTAAAGCCCATTTCTACTTCAGTGAGGCTGGGCCTTTGTATTCTGTACTGTCTCTTCAGGTAGTCATACATACTGGCCTACTTAATTTCCTTTGTTAGGTTATTAAGCAGTGGAACAATCCTTGACTCTCTTTTGGCATTGTTTGTCTAGGAATATGCAAAGGTATGCACAGTATGCATAGTAGTCATTTTTCAAACCCACTGCCAGTCCCTTAGTCTCTTAGTTTGTTCAGATGCCAACAAGATTGTTGTTAATATATGTCATTAAGAAACATTACAGAAACTGGGCAGGGCTGGCCAAAGCTTTACTCTCATAGAAGTTACAGCGTCCCCGTAAATCAAACTGCCTGTTGATAGACAAGTAGTTTGATCATTATTCCTTCTTAGAGAATATGCTATCAAAATTTTTTCCATACATCTATCACAGGACTACAGTCCTTAACATGTAATTTCCTAGAGTCCCATACCCCAATACTACTGAAAACTCAAGGATTTTCCAAGTTATGTACCAAGATTCACCTGAGAGCAAAACTTAGCCTGAGCTGATGTGAAGATGCTTATGTAATTTTTGCAAAATTATGTAACTTAGTGTGAATATTGAAATATTTCATTGCAGATAAATATTAAAGATTTGGTTCCCTAATGGTAATATTATGCAATAATCATTATATCTACCCTATTGCATTTCTATCATTAAAAAGTTCTAAATTCTGAAATATACCTGTCGCCAAGTTATCTGGATAAGAGATTGTGTACCATATTATTCACAGTGATGATGGAGAATGGCAGATTTGTCTATACCTTATTCAGTCCCTAGAATTGTTATCCTAAAATTCAGCAAGATATTAAAGTCATCCCAAGTATGACTTCTATTGAAGGTTTATTCACTGAAATTTGAGATGATTTTTATCATATTAAACCATGACAAATATTAATGTTTGTTACTACTGAACCATGGATTCTCTTTACATTTCTCTTCGATGTGTCTTGTTTGAAAAAACAAGAGTTTGATTTTCATTTTCATTTTCATTCATTTCTTCCTGTTCTCCCATCTTTCAGGCAACTCGGCAACTGAGTAGTCTATCTCTAATGAACAAAAGATAGGAATAATATTTTATTAGTCAACTTAGAGTTTATAACAGAAATTAGAAATTGAGGTAAATATGATGCTCAAAACATAGTTGAACTAACTTGCAATGTGTGGTTAGTTATTTCTAATTCATGTCAAAATTTTTACTTTATGGAGACTCAAATACTAAGTCCATCATCGTTTCTGGTGTAGCAAATATTGTTCAGAAGATATGCCACTTGAAAAATATTCATTTATTCTCTCTCTTTCATGTGCGTGTGCATACACACACACACACACACACACACACACAGGCGCACAGGCACAGGCACAATTTAGACATCCCTACTCTGTAAATGCAAAATGCTCCAAAATCCAAAACTTTTTGACCATAAGCATTGTTTTGGGGACAATATCTGCCAACCTATTAAATGTCAGATGAGCTGAGTTCATAGTCTCACAACAGTGAGAAATGAAGTTGTGAACCAAAGGAAGAAGTTAAGAAAGTTTTTTTGAAGTAAGAAGATGACTAGCTCCTGGATTTCCAGGAGGATTTCGAGTGAGTAATCATCTAGGCTGTTTGTCAGGGGTAATTTATGCACTGTGGGTACAACATGGGTCAAACTACAACCAACCTATAGAATTACAAGTATCTAATATTGCTCCAATAGGAAAACAAGGCACAAGCAAAGGTATATGGAAAGAACAAAGGCATTCTTGGAAAGGGATGGGTCCAGATGTTCTGGTCAGACACCTATGCGGTCTATACTTATCTAGGCTAACTAGACCAGGTAGTGCTAATCACAGTATAATCTCAATTTGCTGTTTATGTCTAGGGAGGCTTGTAGGCTTGGCTATTGCATCTCCATCTTAAGGCTTGACTCTCTTCAGATTTGCCCCCAGCCACAATCTTTGTATATCTCATCTTCTGTGGTGACTTTTTGGAGGGACTTTTTGTCTACGTATTAATTTCTGTCTAGATTAGCTGTTTATAATAACATGACACCACAAGTGGAAAATTCCATGCCATAAAACTGTTTTCATGCACAAAATTACCAAAAATATTGTATAAAATTATCTTTAGGGTGTATGTTTAAGGTATATATGAAACACACAATTTTATATTTAGTTTTGAGCCCTACCCCCAAGATGCCTCATTAGGTATATGAAAAATTGCGAAATCCAAAAAAATCCCAAATCTGAAACAATTTTAATCCTAAGTATTTGAATAGGTAACATATATATATACATATATATATATACATATAAATATATATACACACACACACATGTGTATATATGTATTATATATGTATACACAGTATTTCCTGTGTTCTTATATTTAAATTAATATAAATTCATATTAACCTAAATAATTCAATTGTGCTACTTGGTTGTGTGATATTTGAAACAAAGTTGCTATTATTTTCTCATTTTTTATTATAGTTGTTAGTTTTTACTTGTAATATTTAGGTATTTAAAAGTCCAAGATTACTAAAAATATACTCCATAATTAATAAAAATTCATAAGATAATTAAGAATAATGCACGCTTAATTAAAGAATCCAATGATGTTTCCAACTAATTCCTAATATGTTTGGGTTATACTGTATGTCGTTGAGTTTGCAAATGATTTCTGAACCAAATAAACAACAATGTGCTTGCTTTACAAATAAGGACTTTTAGTTGTGATTGATAATATTTGGATTTTTCCAACTATATTAAGTAATGAATGCTCCTTATGGGCAAAATCAATAGCCTGTTCTGATTAAAATCTTGGCTTCAGTTCAAAATTATCATGTGACAAAGTTATATACTTTAGCAGCTTGAAAACATGCCTACTTAACAAGTATTCATTAATACAAATTATTTGAACATGAATATTCTTAATAGCAGTATTTAAAGAGATTATAGATCCTTTCTAACACATAATCAAATTCACTTGTTTTGACTACTGTAACTGCCAACCACAGTTATCATGGAAGATGTGGTGACCTTAGTATTGAGTCATGGATCCTCTCCAATAGGATGGGAAGATCACTATAGTAATTACTACAGACTAGCAGGTGAACATGGGGATGAATGTGGGAACCACTAAGGATGAGATGACTGTCCTGATGTAGGTTCAAGAACAAACAATATTCTAGCTTCTCTTTCCTCAAAAGACTACACAAATCTCAGGGTGTGATTGTTATAGAGTTATTAACTCAGCATTTGATTTTTCACATTCCTTCCTTTGGGTGATACTTTTACTGCAGCATAGAAGCACTTCTATCAGCTACCACCAAGAAAAATCTGAGTTAAATGTTTGATTTCCCTGATTCTCAAAATGGCAGCCCTATTCCTTCCACAGACTTGGGCCACACATGTATAATCAAGAATTTCCAGACCTTTATCAAGTTGACACATTCTAAACAAACATAATTTC